TCTCCCCAACTTTCATGCATGCTCTCTCTCTCTCTCTAAAATAAAATAAAATATTAAAAAAATTGCAGGTATGATGGGACTTAGCAGAAGCAAAGTCAAGAATTTTTGGTTTATTTTTAACTCCAAATAAGTTTACTGAACAGTTTAAGATGCTTAGAGTCTTTTTTTTTTAATGCTTATTTATTTTCAAGAGAGAGCGAGAGTGTGTGAGTGGGGGAGTGCAGAGAGAGAGGGAGATAGAGAATCTGAAGCAGGCTCCAGGCTCTAAGCTGCCAGCACAGAGGCTAACGCAGGGCTCAAACTCATGGAGTGTGTTATCGTGACCTGAGCTGAAGTCGAACGCCTAACTGACTGAGCTACCTGGGCTCCCCGAAGATGCTTAGAATAAATGCACATATTGGTTTCATTAGGAGAGGCATGGCATGTATCCTAAGGGAAGTGATGGATCCTTTCTGTGCTACCCAGCCCAGAACTGGACTATTCATCCATGTGGGGTCCCACAGTGTATGAGGGATCCGGATGTATTGGCATGTGTCCAGCAGTGGCTACTAGAAGCTTTCGGTGTGACATAGCTGAGGGGCTGGAGGGAATTGCTGAGAAAAAAAAAAGCAGATAAATGGAAAACGTGGTCAGAGTATTCAAGCGTCTGAAGGGCTCAGGGCAGAGAAGTTTGTCGTGTTCTGTGTTGCCCGAGAGCAGATATAGAATAACGGGGGGAGCTACAGAAGTTAGATTCAGCTTCATGTGAGGAAAAACCTGTCCTAGGTGAATTCTGCCTCGTAAGGAATGAGTGATCCACGTCTACAGAATACAAAGTCTGCATCAGGGATATAATGGAAGGGAAAGGAAGTACAGAATGGTGAACAGGAGAGTGAGACTTACAGAAAAAGAGAGAAAGGAAGGAAAAAGAGAGGCAGAGGTGGAAGGAAGGAAGAGAAAAGGTGAGGCAGAAGAGACCATTTGGGGAGTAGGTGGTGAGTTGCCGCAAGCATTCTTTCAGGTCTTCATTAGCCATATCCCAGACCGCCAGCAGATGGAGACGTTACTCAAGGAAAAGAGGACTCTAACTCCTTCCAACACCAACCCCTAACCCTATCCTTTCCTTATTCTCTAAATATGCATTCCCTCTCCTGAAAAATGATGTGAAGAGAGAATTCCAGAAGTCTCTGAATTTCCAAACTAAGCTTGTAGACAAGCATTTTATGGTAAATGTAGCCTATGATTCTAATTTAGAAGAGGCCTTTGTAGCTTTTTGCATTTTGGTCAGTGCCTGAGTAGGGCTCCCTCCATCTTGCCTGATCCAAGTTATGTGCATATATATTATGTACATATATATTTGTACATATATGGTGCACACGTGTTTTGAATTCATTGTTAAATAATTAAACAACATAGGGGTATACTACAGCCCCCTTCCAATCACCCTTCCATTGGCACTTTGTGTCCCCAAATAGAACTCTGTCGCTTTGAATTCTTAACTGTGGTAATTCTGGGAGTCTTTGCTCTCAATCCATGTGTGCTTTCTTCATTCATCCAGCTAGAAAGCAGTCAATTCAGAGGACTTTCGCAGACTTGGTCTCACTAGTAAAGATGTACCTAGAAGGGAAACAGGTTTTTTCAACAGTGCTTCCCAACTTTGAAGTGCACACTAATTACCCAGGGATCTTGTTAAAGTGCAGATTCTGATTCAGAAGATTTTTTTTAAGAGATTTTTTTTAATGTTTATTTATTATTGAGAGACAGAGAGACACAGAGCGCGAGCAGGGGAGGGGGAGAGAGAGGGGGAGACACAGACTCCGAAGCAGGCTCCAGGCTCTGAGCTGTCAGCACAGAGCCCGATGCAGGGCTCGAACTCACGAACTGTGAGATCATGACCTGAGCCAAAGTCAGTCGTTCAACCAACTGAGCCAACCAGGTGCCCCTGATTCAGATCTGGTAGGGCTAGAGATTCTGCACTGCTAATGAGGTCCCAGATAACATTGATGCTACTGGCCTAAGGACCACACTTTGAGTAGCAAGGGTATACATAGGTCCTTTTATCAGGAGGGGTCAGGACAAGAAATACAATTGATGATCCTGGGTGGCTCAGTTGGTTAAGTCCGACTTCGGCACAGGTCATGATCTCACAGTTCATGGGTTCAAACCCCACATTGGGTCTGTGCTGACAGCTTGTAGCCTGGAGCCTGCTTCAGATTCTGTGTCTGCCTCTCTCTCTGCCCCCTCTCTGACTCATGCTGTTTTTGTCTCTCTCTCTCTCTCAAAAATAAACATTTAAAAAATACAATTAACTTTTTGTAGCCATGCTGTCTTCTTTGTCACCCCTTAACTTTGACTTAACTGTTCATATTTTCATTCAACTGATCAACATTTACAGAGAATCTGTAAAAATCACCAGTTAATTTTAAGCAACATTAGCAATCATCGTTGAGCTTCAGTACCAAGGTCCCTAGGGTTAGTGATGGTTTGGATTCATTCCTTGCTATGTCACTCATTCATTCAACAGTTATTGAGGGTCTACTGTGCCAGGCACTGCTCCTGGAGCTGGAAACACAGTGGTAAACATAAATCTGTTTATTGTTTAACCCCCAACTTGTTTATTGTTAGCCTCAAATAAGTCTGTCTCCAGTAGGGGAGAGAGGCAAATAATTAGGCATTTAAGCTCCTTTCTCTCCCTTTTTCCTTTTCTTTTCCTAAATGACTCAATCCAAAAGCCAGTGGGGTCACACAAGGTAGCTTTCCACCCAGAAGGAAGGGGAGCTTGCAGTGAGAAGGTTATCCATGTGAAAGTGTGGCCTGGTACAAACTGAGCCCAAGCAGGGCGAGAAGGGCATCTGGGCAGAGGGACAACCTGGTGAGGGTTGTCAGAGCCTAAGAAGAGAAAGGAGGGCACCTATAATGGTTAATTTCATGTGTCAACTTGACTGGCTTCTAGGTGCCCTGATTAAACATTATTTCTGTGTGTGTTTATGAGGGTATTTCTGGATGAGATTAACACTTTAATTTAATTAGTGGATTCAGTAAAGTAGCTTGCACTCCCCAATATGCATGAGCATCATCTAATTCCTTGAGGTTCTGAATAGATCAAAAGGTGGAGGAAGGAGTTTGCCCATTTTTTTTTTTTTCTTGCCTCCTCTGTAAGCAGGGACATCTCATCTTTGGTCATTGGACTTGGAGTTACAACATTGTCTTCCCTAGTTCTCAGGCGTTCAGACTTACACCATCAGCTTTCCTGCCAGCTTACAGATGGCAAATTGTGGAACTTCTCAGCTTTCATAATTGTGTGAACCAATTACTCATAATAATAAACCCCTCTCTCTCTAAATATATAGATAGATACAGATCTCCTACTGATTCTGTTTCTCTGGAGAACCCTGAACTAATACAGCATCCACATAGGCACTAAGGCTTGGTTTAAGGTGTTGGAGCCTGAATGGGGTAATAGGCCTCCATGTCAGGTGACGGTAGTGGTGGTAGTGATAGGAGATATACTACAGGAGGTGCTGATCAAATAATTAATATATTAAGGCTAGTGGGAACCAGGTTTCTCACTGCCAGGGAAGGAAGTTACAAATATGGGAGGAAGGAAAATCAGAATAAACCCTGAGGTGCTGAATTGGAATTAGAGGTCAGTATGATCTGATGGCTTTCAATATATATGGATTTAGAAATTCTAAATTTTAGAAATAAATCACTTTTAGTTGTAAAAGTGTGTTTACTTACATCTATTCCCTAATTCAGTTCATTGAGGCCTGGGAGCAGTGACATCCCCAAAGCAGTCCATACCTGCTACATAGATCTTGGTTTCTAAATACCATTCCCTACCAAGAGAAACCAGAACTCTTTGGAAAAATGAGTGATTCCAGGGCTGGGGCAGGGAAACTACAAGATAAGCTGAAATATCTTGTGCCAGAAAGTAAGGACATGTTCAAAAAAAAATGATGTGGACATGTTACTAGAACACAGAAACTGGCCTAATGGGGTTCCCATTGGCCCAATCTGATATAATTTGAACCTGAAAATAAATGATAGTAGCAGATTCTAATCTAATGAATAAGATAGGAATCTACAAGTCCAGACTGATGCAAATAAATGAATAAATTGGTAGTGTGATGCACAGGATTTTTACTTAGTTTCTAAATACCTGCCCACAAAATAAGGGGCAGGCACAAAGTGAAATTATAAAAGGAAAAGAATACCTTTATAGCAGAGAAACCTGTAAGCGGTTTAAGTGGTCAAAGTTACTATAACCAGTAATGAGACAAATCGAAATTGTGTGCCACTTAATAGAATACAGTGAGAAGAACAGCATCGTATCTGTAATAATCCTGCCAAAGATGCATAACCTGGAACTAATCACTTGGAAACATTAGACAAATCCAGATTGAGGGGCATTGTACAAAATAACTGGTCTGTAATCTTTAAAATTTAAAGTTTATAGTCAGAGTGAGGGACTGTTCTGGGTTGAAGGAAACTAAAGGGCTATGGCAACTAAATGCAACCTGTGTTTTCCGACAGGTTCTTTCTGCTGCAAAAACTATTGGGACGATTAGTGACCTCGTTTGTGGAATCTTGAAAGAAAGCAACTTGGATAACAGACGAGACGACCTGACTTCTTGCCCTTCAAAAATGCCCTTCTTTGGGTCCACGCTTACAGGAGCTTCTTTGGCCCTTCGGCTCTGGTGATTCTTAGTCCCACACAAGCCTCAACGCGCAGGCAGAGAGCTAGTTCAGCAAAGAGGACTGGTGCCTGTAGTGGGCAGAAGTCCCGCCTCTCCGGGGCGGGGCGAAGAGTGGGCGGGAACGGCGCCTCCGCCTTCCCGGGGAGAGCGAGTAGGGGGCGGCGCCGGGGGGGAGGAGCCACGCCGGCTCCGCACGCGCGGGGCGGAGCGGGTGAGGCCGCGCCTCTTCCGTCCAGTTGCCCTGCTGTCGCATGTGGAGTGGCAAACACCGCCCGGGGGGTGTTCGTGTAAACGCCTAACCTTGGCGACCGGACTGGCGAGATGGCGGCGGAGGTGTTGTCGAGTGCCAGGTGGCTGTACTGTGGGGAGCCCGACGACAGCCACAGAGCAGTACTGGGTAAAGACTGCGGCGCCGGAGCGGAGTTCCCCGTAGCTCTCTTCCCTTCCGTCTGGGTGCCTCTACAGTCCTCCCGCCCCTGTCGGGCCCCTTTCCCCGCTGGACCGAGACCCCCTTTAGTCTCCTCCACTACTTGGGACTTGGCCTGGGCTCCTCTGCCATCCCACCATCTTTCTGTCACCACTTCCTCTGGATGAGGATATCCCAGCCACCCTCTTCTCCAAAGCTGTACCTGTCGTCTCCTCCCCACTCACCTGCCCCATCTCCTCCTCTCTATTGGGCAGAAATTCCCCTTTCTCTCTAGCTCTGGCCCAGGTCTCCTCAGCTCTGTTCCCCTAGTTATTCCCTTCTACCACAGCCCTTCCCCAGCACTGCCCTCACTTCTCCATCTCTTCCCAATTGGACCAGGACCTCCTTCAGCCCCCCTTTAGGTCAGGACCTGGGTTTCCTTACCATCCCCGTTCCTTCAGTCGCTCCCTCCCAAGGACAGTCCAGGTCCTCCCCAGCATACACTGTGGGTCCTTCTATTTCCATCTCATTCTCGGGCTGCAATCTTACAGTCCAGTTCTCCAATGGGAAGCTGCAGAATCCAGGCAACATGCGCTTTACCTTGTACAAGAGCAATGACTCCACAAACCCCAGGAAGAGAGGTCAGCGGATCCTGGTAAGTGCTACAGTGGCCAATTGGCTCCACTCTGCAGGCCTCTGGAGGCCTAGAGGCACTTGAGTGCGGGTGGATGTGGGACAAAGCAGGAGGAGAAAGGGGTGGGGACAGGGTCCATTCAGTTATGTACTTTTGGTGAAGTGATGGCCTTTCATTGATTTATTCATTTGACAAGCATTGGTTGAACATCCACATGGCCCTATGCTGTAAGCTGCAAGGGAAACAGCTAGGTAGGACCTGGCCCCACTCTGAGGGAGCTCATACTCTAGAGCACGGTTTTTCAACCTTGGCACCATTGACATTTGGATCCAGATAATTCTTTGTTGTTGGCGCATCCTGTGCATTGCAGGACATTCAACGGCTTCCCTGGTCTCTAACCACTAGATACCAGTAGCACCTTGTAGTTGTGACAGTCAGAATATCAAACATTCCCAGATATCCCCGGAAGAGGATTTCCCCTGGTTGAGAACCACTGATGTAGAGAGATGAGAACTGGTTTTGAGTTCAGTAACTTCTACAAGCAGACAAGCTCAGAGCCTGGCGGAGGGAGAGTGAGCTCAGTCAGAGAAGTCTCTGCTTGCCAGAAGGCCTTCCCCGGAAGAAAGTGCATTGGAGCTGAGCTGTGAAGGGTAGAGGAGGGTTTGACAGCTGAGGTTTAGTATTCCAAGTGGAGAGGATGGCAAGGACAAACAGGGAAGCAGGAAAGCTTGACTGTGATTGAGGAATGAATCAGCTGTTTCCATAGTCCTGTGAATATATAAGGAATAGTCCTGGGAGAAATGGGCCAAGAAGCTCAGGAAGGGCTTGGACTTTGGCCCCAGAGGTTGCTGGCAGAACCATTTTGTAGCATGTCTCTAAGCGCTGGGACCCCAGAACCTCTCTCCCAAGTCCTGTGGTGCAATTCCCCTGAGAACTTTTCAGACAACATAGAAGCCAGCACTGTCTGGAGCTTCCCTTTCAAAAGTCCTCTTGCCTTTCTCCTAGGGACACCCAGATTCACTTGGACGGTGGGACTAGATCATCTCCCAGAGGCTCTCTGCTTCTAATCCACTGGTTCTGGATTCTAAAGCTTTTACAAATGTGGGAAAGGGAGACAAGATGCTTAATACCTTTCAATATTGGTTGTAGTGATGTTTTTTTTCCCTTTACATTTTAGACAGCTGAAACAGACAGACTTTCCTATGTGGGAAACAATTTTGGGACTGGAGCCCTCAAATGCAACACTCTGTGCAGGTAGGGATAGGGGAAGGGACAGTGGGAGGAGGAGGATAGTGGTGGTGAGCCTGGCACTACTGTGTTTGCTCTTTATTTTAGGGACAGTGGGGGAAATCTGGAGAGGTTTACCATGTCCCTTGTTCCCAGATCCAGAGGTCCTCACAGCAGCATGTGGACATGCCTGAGAAGGGAAAACGAGTTACATTTGTTGGATTTCCTAACAAATCTCATTCATTTACAATTTTTTAGGGGTGCCTGGCTGGCTCAGTCAGTGGAATGTGTGACTCTTGATCTCGGGGTTGTGATTTTGAGCCCCACATTGAATATAGAGATTTCTTTATTTAAAAAAAAATTTTTTTAACGTTTTATTTATTTTTGAGACAGGGAGAGACAGCATAAACGGGGGAGGGGCAGAGAGAGAGGGAGACACAGAATAAACAGGCTCCAGGCTCTGAGCCATCAGCCCAGAGCCCGATGCGGGGCTCGAACTCCCGAACCGCGAGATCGTGACCTGAGCTGAAGTTGGACGCTTAACCGACTGAGCCACCCAGGCGCCCCTTTTCTTATTTATTTTTTTAATTTTTTTTTTTTTTTTTTTTTTTTTTTAGAGATTACTTTAAAATAAAATCTTAGGGGTGCTTGGGTGGCTCAGTTGGTTGTGTCCAACTCTTAATTTTGGCTCAGGCTTGAGGTTCGGGGGATCGAGCCTCACATCGGGCTCTGGGCTGACAGTGCAGAGCCTGCCTGGGATTCTCTCTCTCCCTCTCTCTGCCCCTCCCTAACCGCCCCCCCCCCAACCCTGGCCAGACTAAATAAATAAACATTTTTAAAAAGTAAAATAAAATCTTAAAAATAATAATTAAAAAAATTGAGATATAATACAACATATTAGTTTTGGTATATAGCATAATGATTAGATATTTGTATATATTGCACAATGGTCACCACAGTAAGTATAGTCATCCATTACCACACATAGTTAGAATTTTTTTCTTATGATCAGAACTTTTAAGATTTATTCTCAACAACTTTTAAATATACAATATAGTATTATTAGCTACAGTCACCATGCTGTACATTACATTCCCAGGGCTTATTTATTTTGTAACTGAAATTACGTTTTGACCACCTCATTAATTTGCAGTATCCTTTATAATTGTCTTGTTTCCAAAAGGCAGCCGTCTCCACTTATTTGAAATATGTGATCAATAGGCCAAAGCTTGCCAGAAATTTTTCCTGGAACTAACTCCAAGAAAAGCATTTGGTAGTGTCAAAGACTCCAGGGTTTCTATCCAGCTCTACTACTTTGGACAACTGACTTTGGACAGCTGACTTTGGACAGCTCTGTCCTTCACTGACCCCCGCTCTCTCCCTGGGTGCAATGAAGATTGTTCACCCGAACAGACTGTAACTGTCAGGCGCTGGCATAACACAGGCAGTGTTCCTCTGATAGTGTCCAACCGTGAAGCACAAAAAAGGCCTTTTCAAAGCCCCCATCAAACCACCCTGCTAGAGGTCAGATTAATGTGTATGTACTTAAAACCATTACCACCACATCATGCCCTTACAAAGATTCTCTAGTTCAGACTGGTCTTCTCCCCATAATTACCAAGGTTTTACTTGTCTTTGCCTCCATAAAATGTACATGTGTAGTAAATTCTAGTGTAATTCTAGATTTTTATATCTCCAAATAGTTTCCCACTATAGCAATGAGCACAAGTGTGATTGGCTACCAGAATCACCTGGTAGCATTTTTTTTTTCTTCCAGAACCACCTCTTGAATTCCCTCCTTCCTTCGCTCCTTTCCCTCTGATGCTAAGAATTGCTGCCCTTGGGATCATGGTTACTCAGCAACAAGTGATGTGTTCCTCAAGTGCATTGGGGCAGAAAGACCCTTGAGTACTTTTAAGCAGGAAAAAGGAAGTTGTATAAACAATACCTTTTGAATAATCCATTACCATTGGTATTACTCCTTCTTTATTCAGGCACTTTGTGGGAGTCCTGAACAAGACCTCCGGCCAGATGGAGGTGTATGATGCTGAATTGTTCAACATGCAGCCACTGTTTTCAGGTAGGTCCCAGTCATGAAGGCTCACAAAAACACTGTATATTTTAGGTTTGCTGGACGAGTTAGTTGTCGATTTGTAAAACATATTTTGTATTTTTAAAAGGGTGCCTTTCTGCAAATATTTATTGATGACCTACTATGTTCCAGGCACAAGTTAGGGGCCGGGGATGTAGCAAAACAGACACAGATCCTGTCCCTTCAGTGTTTACAGATTTGAGATCAGAAAATAATTTTAGTTAAAGTCAGTTGAGCAATGATCAGAGCAGAATATCGGAGGGCATGTCCAATATTTTTTTTCATTCAAAGGCCTTTTTTAAAACTCTTAACTGTTCTGGTTGGAGTAGAGGTTTTAGGGTCTCTAGCAGGTGATGGGAGTTACTTATGGGTTGGACAGTAACTTTTCATTTTTATTTTTTTTTATTTTGAGAGAGAGAACAAGGGAGAGGTAGAGAGAGAATCCCAAGTGGGCTCCGTGACAAACTGTGATATCATGACCTGAGCTGAAATCAGGAGTCAGATGCTTAACCGACTGAGCCACCCAGGTGCCCCTCTATGCTTTCTAATTAAAGCGGAGATCCATTTTTACCCTAATCCAGAGGGAGAACTTGTACTGTTTCTCTGCTTTGCCATCTCAGAATGCTCCAGACTGGAGTGGGATCTTCCAGAAGGTTGGAGGGTCAGACTCAAGGGGTTCCTGTTCTCTAAATCTTAAATACTGCGAACCATGGTGAGGAGGGTAGAGATGAGGAAGGATTGCTAGGGTCTTGGTGGATCTGCCAGATACCTTCAGAGACAGTGGTTCCAACTTCATTCCCGCAGAGCAGTGGTGCCAGTGCTTTCGAGAATCTGAGGGACCTGGACTTACCTCCTGGAAACACACACAATATACAAGAATATGTATGAGATTTTGCATACAGTTGTAAAGGGCATTTGAGTCCTGAAACCCATTTGTGAATTTCAGGGATCCATAGTCTATAGCTTATAGTCTATAGGAATTCTTAGAACTCCTTGCTTTGTGGGCACTTATGTGGCTCAGTAGGTTAAGTGTCCAACTTTGGCTCAGGTCATGATCTCACAGTTCATTAGATTGAGCCCTGTATCGGGCTCTGTGCTGACAGTGCAGATCCTGCTTGAGATTCTCTCTTTCTCTCTCTCAAAAATTAACAAGCAAACTTAAAAAAAAAAAAAAAGAATTCCTTGCTTTGCAAACATATGTAACTGCATTTAGATTATCCTCCAAATGCTCTACCAACTTCCCAAGAGGCAAAGGAAATTGTTCATTAATTTGCTGATCAAACAAATTTTTGTTTTTACGTGTAAAAAAATGTGTAAATAATGGTTTATTTGGGACAGTGTATATATATATATATATATATACACACACACACACACATAATATATATTATATATATAAATATATACACATACACACACACGTATGTATGTGTATACACATACATGCACACACATGCAACATTTATTAAGTGCCTATGTGCTAGGCACTGTTCTAAGCACTTTCAGTGCACTACATCATTTACTTCACATAACCCTCTGGTTGTTTTATCAATGACAAAACTGGCACAGAAGTGAACCAACTTGGCAGGGACACAATGCTGCTTTCTATATCTATGTAAAGTACCATATCATGTCGTGTATGTATATATGATCTGGGATTGAGACTCGGGCAAGGTCACTCTAGAGCTTATGCTCCTGTGTCCACTAGATTATACTGCCCCATATATATAAATACTTTATGGGAGATTTGAGAGCTTTATGTAAGTAACACATACCTCACATTTATGCTTACCTACTTTTAGGTCTTTTATAAGGAGGGCAAAACTATTTACTGGAAAGAACCAAGGACTTAGTTTCTAATCCCATCTTGGCCACTGCCTGGTCAACAGACTTGGGGCAAATTATTTCATCTGGAGGCTTCATTTTTCCTTATTTGTAAAATGAACATTGGACCAGATGACCCCCTCATTTGACTTCTTAATTTATTCTCCAAATCCTCTGACTGTACTAAAGCCACAGACTAATTGTTTTCAGGATCCATTATATTATACTCGGGAAATCCTGAAGTAAAGAAATCTGTTTTTCTGAGATTGGCTGTTAAAATAAATATTAAACACTATTATAATCTGTGGGCCTTACAGCTCACTTTTTTTTCCTCTCTGTTTTTGTTTGTTTTGTGTTTTGATAGATGAATCAGTCGAGAGTGACTCGACACGAGAGAATGAGGCCAAAACTTTTAGAGAAAAGGTAAGTGTGACAGAACTGAGATGTGGGACCCGAAATGCGTTCCTTCTAGGCCTTGCGTTTTCCCATCAGTATAATGAGCTGGCCGAACATAGGGCTGCTCCCAGCTCATTCAGTCTGTGGTTCTCTGGCCAGGCCACCTGCAGAGGCCTCCATGGCCTCACAGAGCCATCCTTCCATGTGGGACAGCTATACGCTGCTCTGTGCCAGTGTGCGGAACTGGTTCTCTGGGCTGATATAGGTGTAGCATAATAGTTGGTTTTGGATTTAATCCAAGTTTCAGAAAATACTGGTTGTAGCCTGGAAACTTTCTCATTAAAACAAAAGTAAACTTCAAGATTTTCAAGGTAGGCGGTTTCTGCAAAGCTCATCTCACCCCAGGATGTCAATTGATTGAATCTTCAGTACTGCCTGGAGCAGTGTTGAGAGCGGGTATGAGGCTGTCTTCAGGCTCAGAGGGAAAGAATGAGTGATTAGCAACATCTGCTATGGGTACAGGGCTGGAAAACAGTAAGCTGTATGCCACAGATTTACCAATCCTAATTCTGGTCTTTTTACTTTACAAATGGAGACACGGTTGATTTGTAAATACCCCCTGACAGTTTATAAAGCAAGTACTTCAGATCTGTTAATACAAGAATCCTGGGAGATAGATACATATGGTTCAGCCCAATTTGCAAGTGAGGTAATAATCATGGCTCAGAAAGGCCGAGGGTTTCCCCATAGTCACACAGGAATAGTAGTGCCCAACCTGTCCCTAGACAGACCACATTTGTCCCTGCACAGATGGATTCTTGCATTGAAGCCTTTGGAACCACCAAACAGAAGCGGGCTTTGAATTCCAGAAGAATGAACAGAGTTGGCAATGAATCTCTGAATTGTGCAGTAGCTAAAGCCGCAGAGAATATTATTGATGCAAAGGGTGTGACTGGTAAGCAGCTGGGACCTGGGTAAGAGTCTGCTCATAGAGACCACTTTCTCTTCTCTTGAGATCTTTTACCTGCCCCACAGATGGAAATAATGGGCATTCGGGCTGGATTCCTTCCTCTCACTGAGTGCTTTCCTGGGAACAGACTCTGGAAGTAGTAAGAAACATCTGCCCTTGGGGAGCTCCCAGCCAAGTAGAGGAGACAGGCACGGGAATGGTTGTGTGTCTGCGTGTCCTTGGTGCCAGGGTTCCAGCTGGCAGGGTGCTCTGGGCACAGGGAGGTTTTGGGGAAAAAGACCAAGGTGATGCTGGTGCTGATTAACCCTCTGGAGACAGGGCTTCACTTTGGTGCCAGTGGACCTTTTTCTGTTCCTAAATTCGTCAGCAGCTTGAGTATTTAATTGTATTATTTAAAAACGTATTTATTGCTCAAATGCATTATAAGAACGTAAGAGAAGGTTTACATAAGCGGTTTTTCTATTAGAGTGGGATTTTAGTAATTTTGAGAAAATCTTTCCAAACCCTCTGATCATATAAATATTTTCCTATGTTTTCTTGCAGTACTTTCATAATTTTACTTTTTACATTTAAAGCTTAAGACTTATTTTGGCATATGGTAGAGACCTAATTTTATATTTTCTAAATGATTAACCAGCTGTCCCCAACTCCATCCTTTTCTTGTAGAAGATGATTTAGAAAGTCCTCCTTCTCACTTTAGCACATTCTGTCTGTGTTCTGTTCCATTGTCCGTTCTGTTCCCGTGGCAGCATGAGGCTGTTTTGATTTCAGTAGCCTCATCATCCGGTTTATTTTCTGATAGGGCAAGTTCCTCCTACTCCTTCCTTTTATTTTTTGCAAACATTAGAGTAACATGCTTTTTCCCCAGGTGATCTTAATTATTTTGTCAAATTCCCTCAAAACGCAATTGAGATTAATATGGAGAGAATCATCATCTTTATAATATTATGTTTTCTTATCCAGGAACATAAAAATATGTCTCTCCATTTATTTGAAAGCATTAGTAAATTTAAAAAAAATATTTTTTTAATGTTTATTTTTGAGAGAGAGAAAAAGAGGCAGAGAGAAAGAGACACAAAATCTGAAGCATGCTCCAGGCTTTGAGCTGTCAGCACAGAGCCTGACGCAGGGCTCGAACTCACGAACCGTGACATCATGAGCTGAGCCGAAGTCGGATGCTTAACCGACTGAGCACTCAGGTGCCCCACATGAGGACATTTTTTAATGTTTTTGTTGCATTTACATGAGTAAATTTTTTAATGTTTTTGTTGAGTTTACTGTCAGCTATCAAAGGATGTCTAAAAAGAAAAATAATTCACCCGTTTCTCATCATTTTTCCAGACCAACTATTATAATTTTCCCGTATTCCTATCTGTCCACGTCTATATGCATACTTAATTCTTAATGGTTATCCTTGTAGGCTAGTTCACAGTTTTATATTCTGGTTTTTTGTTATTACTCACAATATGTGGGGAAGTTTTCTGGAGCCATTAAAGACTCTTTTGAATATCCCTCACTTTTAGTTTCTCTTCTATTGTAAATACTTATCGGTACACCTGCCTTTCCCAACTATATTACAAGTCGCTTGAGGGGGACCACACCGTGTGCACCTTATCCAGTGCCTGGTTAGGTTTGTGTCATGATAGCTGGAGCTGTCAGCCTGATGGGGAGGTCAGGCCACATTGGCAGAAGCATTCCAATGAGGAGTTTCCGGACCAGTTACGATCTTGAGGACATTAAGTTATATAGTGTATTGGGGAACCTGCAGCCAAATGGATGATACCGACACCATCTCTTCCTTTATTAAAAAGCTCTGGTCAGTGATGCCATCCGTGATGAACTGCAAGATGACTCCCTGTACCTTCCTCCCTGCCATGCTGATGCAGCCAAGCCTGAAGACGTGTACAAATTTGAAGACCGTATCCTTGTTGCAGTAGAAACGCTGCTTTATTTCCCAGGTTGGGACGTGTATACATGAGTGGGCAGACAGGCTCTCTGGTATGTTGGTGGTCCCGTGATGCTCACGGAAGCTACATCCAGACCTTTGCGCTCGCTCCAGCGCTGTCGCTGGGTAGTCAGCTAGGCTTCCTCACTAGCTGTGGGACTGGCCCTCCGCCCCTGAGATTCAAACCCATTCCTCAGCAAAGTGCCGAGGTCACTCTCTGTCAGTAGTCAGGATAAGACTTCTAAGTCAACTAGTGCCTTAAGTCTAAGACAGACTGATTTGTAAAAGGTAGGGTTGGAGCATAGAATTTCCCTCCTTGTGCGTCTAGTCAGAGGGAAAATGCCTGCGGTAGCTTTGTGATAAGCCGGGGAGGCAGAAAAGCCCAGGCAGGGAATGGGCTCTGGGCTGGGAGTCTGAAGGACCGAGACCCTGCGCTCAGCCCCAGTGTATTATGTGATCTTCCCCCATCTGGGCCTCAGCTGTCCCATCTCTAAAACGAGGCCCCTCTGAGATGAGCTAGCCAGTTGGATGTTGCCATTTTGGTCAGATTGTGTTCTTGACCTGTGACTAGTTCTCTCCCCTGCTGAGTATGAAGCTCTTCAAAGCCCATCTGAAGCTTTCAGGAATGTCTCATCAGAGGAAATCCTGAAGATGATCGAAGAGAACAGGTACCCCTCAACCCCCTGGGTGGATGGAGTGTCTGGGGCAGTGATGTCAGAACATGACAGTAGTCAGGTGAAGTGGACTTTTAGGGATGTCAGTCAGTGAGGGTGTATGTCTTTTCAGCATTTCAACGTGAATGAGCCAGTGTTTTCTTGAAAATGTTTGGGCCTTCAGGCTTCTTGTCCCAAGGCTGTGGGTGGCATTCAAGGGAGAGAGAGGTGGCCTCTGAGTACCTGGAGCCTGTGGCTGGGCAGAGGGTGGTGGGGCCTTGTGGTCTGGGGCTTGGAACTAGAGCTGGCCCATGTCCCCAGTGTTATGCTGATAGTGATTGTCACCAGTGGGGTGGGGCCCGCATGCGAGCCTGCGAGTAGGTGCCAGTGGAAGTGATGGTGTGGTGAGTGAGCATTTTAACTTAAAGTTAAATTTATGTATTTAAATACTGTATATTTTAAAGGGTGCCTGGATGGCTCAGTCGGTTAAGCGGCCAACACTTAATCTCGGCTCAAGTCATGATCTCACAGTTCATGAGTTCGAGCCCCAAATCAGGAGCACAGAGCCTGCTGGGGATGCTGTCTCTCACTCTGCCCCTCCCCAACTCATGCCACATATGCTCGCCCGCTCTCTCTCTCTCTCTCTCTCAAAATAAGTAAACTTAAAAAATAAGTACTGTATATTTTAAATAATTCAGATTATCTCTCCACCCTCCTTGGGCCTTTAAAAGCAGCTTTTTTGTTTTTGTTTTTGTTTTTTTTGTTTTTTTTGATGATAGTGGAATTTTTTTGCTCTTGAGTTTTTCCTTTTAATAATTTTATCTTGAGAAAATAAAAAATTACAAACCCTAGGTTGGTTCCCCGATTTTTTTAAGGGGAGGGAAGGGCAGAGAGAGAGAATGAGACTTCCAAGCAGGCCCTACACTTTCAGTGCAGAGCCTGATGCAGGGCTTGAACTCATGAGCCATGAGATATGACCTGAGCTGAAATCAAGAGTCAGAGGCTTAAACGATTGAGCCACCCAGTGCCCCAAGTTCCTTGAGTTTTGAAAGTGCTTTTTTTCTTTTTTTCCCTTCCAAAGATTCGTTTCCAGAAAAGTTTATTACTGGTTCTTGGTTGTCTTAATGTAGTTGTGGTTCAGCAGCAGGTGCAGGAATGAGCTCTGGGCTGAGTTTGAAGAAATAAGTCCCTGAGCTCTGCCCAAGGTACGGTGTGATCTGTGTGATCTTCCCTCCGCTGAGCCTCAGTTTTCCTATCTGTAAAACGAGGCCACTTTCTTAAAGAGCTTCGTTATCTCTCTGAGTCCAGGATCCTCATAGCGGTAGAATAGTACATAAAAATAATAGCTAACATAGATGGAGCTCTTACATGTGCCAAGTACTGTTCTAGACACTTTACTTGCATTATCTCATTTAATGCACAGAAAGCCCCTACTCTGAGGCTACTATCATTGCCTTAAATTTTTGGGTGGAGATGATGTACAGAGATGTATAGAAGATGTACAGAAACTTGCCCAGGCCACTGAATGGCAGAGAGGGGGTTCAAAACCGGGCATTTTAACTCAAGAGCCTGTGCTCCAGACCACTACATCAGGATGGGGCAGACCATGGCCTGTGTGCCAAGTCTGGCCTGCTGTCTGTGAATAAAGTTTTATTGGAACCCAGCCATGGTCATTCATTTATGTATTATTAATGCCTGCTTTTGCAGTGGCAGCTTTGAGTAGATGGAACAGAGACCATATGGCCCACAAACCACAAATATTTACTGTCTAGTCCTTTACTGCCTTGGCACTAAACCATGCTCACTGTGTTATAAGGAGCGTTGATAGGACGGCCCTTCCTCGACTGTTGAGTGTGTATCAGCTGTGAAGGATGCCTGCTGTTTTCATTGACAGCATGAATGGCTCCTGACAGAGCCGGTCTCATGCATCCCTCCATTGTCTCTTTCCCCGTTTTAGCCACTGCTCCTTTGTCATAGAAGCGTTGAAGTCTTTGCCATCTGATGAGGAGAGCCGAGACCGCCAGGCCCGATGCATATGGTTTCTGGACACGCTCATCAAATTTCGAGCACAAAAAGTGATTAAGCGGAAAAGTAAGTCCATGATAGACATTTTATTCTAGTTATTTCTAGCCTGTTACTTGTCTATTAGACTAACTGTAATGAGAGAAGAAAATGGATATGATTGTCTTGATCTTTATTTGTGACTGTGTAAAAGTGAGGTTCCTGTAGTCATGCCGGCAGACTGAAAGGACCGGCCCAGCTCTCTCCTCTTCTGAAAATGGGGATAGGCTGGGTTGTACCTTTGTTCAGAGCTGGCATCCACTACTTCTTGTCTGCGTGGGGCAAAGTATAGTATCCAGTCAAATCATGAAAATTTTAAGGGACTGTTGGGCAAACGTGAGCTCTCTGGGGAGAAAAACTGTCTTTGTTCATATGATGGCTTATGGCAGGTTTATGTGTGTCCGCGTATTTCTGACTGACAAAGAAGAGAGTCCATTCCCGCTGGTAACACGTGTCACAAGTCTAGGGCCATGCTGGATGCCCCACATCCACCCAGCGCTGGAAACCCACCTGTGGTTTTAGGCACAAGGTGATGCCGTCTTGTTACTGTGATTGAGCTCCCAAGAGTCTGTAACAGTTTTCAGGATTTGCCTGCTTCTTATTTTCACATTTCAGTCTCTCCTCCTTTCCCTCTCCTTGGGCTTTCTCCACTATCTATTTTGCTTTGTAACATCTTATGAATTCTAGATCTTTAGGCCTCATTGGAGTCTGGTTTTCCTCCCTGTCTCTGCCCCATCACAAACGTCTCTCGGGCGTGTGCAGTTTTCATTGGGAAGTGGCTCTTCTGTTTCATGGGCCCTGCTTCTCTTACCACATGGCTCCATTCATTGCAGTGGCCCAACTGCTGGCCAGCATCTCCTCATGGAGATGCTGTGGTGTGAGGGTTTGGAAACATGCTCAAACTCAGCTTTGTGTTGTAGGTGCCCTGGGACCTGGGGTCCCCCACATCATCAGCACCAAGCTGCTGAAGCACTTCACCTGCTTGACCTACAACAACGGCAGGTCAGGGGGATTGGCTTCTGGGGCTCCTGCCTCTAAAGGAGAAAGCGGGCTGGGGAGGGCAGTGGGAGTGGGGACGAGCGCATGGGTTGGATCCCATGTCCACGGACACTGCTGAGGAGAGCACTCACTGCCCTTTGCAAGGGTCTTCCTCAAATCAGTTGAGGAAACGCTATGTATTACATGCTCTGTCCCCCTTGGAGAAGTTCACGTTAGAGGCTCTGGGAAGTCCTGCAGCTGGAGACTTCTTTCACTTCATACACTTCTCCAAGGAACCTTTCCTAATATCTCATAGAACCAATGTTCTATGGAAAGGCAGTGTTGCAGAAAAGGGCAGGCCAGTGCCCTTTGCATTTGGGATGACTGTTTTCCCAGCCTCCCTGCTGAGCAGTGGGGACACGCTCTGAGGGCCTGTGTCCTTGAGAAGCCCTAACTGTGCCTGGGGAAAGTGTAGCTGTGGCCCACTCGGAGGGAACACTGGGATTGGCTCATCGCCCCACTGTGCATGAAGGCACGGGTACCTTGCCCGGACAAGGAATGTTGCTCAGATTTCTTCTCCCCAAGGTGGGAGGACAATGAGTGTGCATGAGAACAGGCTTGGATGTTTTTATTCCGCTTCTGGAATAATCATCTTAGAGTTTAACGCTGTCCCTCCTTCACTGCCACTGATTTTGTAGCCTACGGAACTTAATTTCGGATTCGATGAAGGCGAAGGTCACCGCGTATGTAATCATACTGGCTTTGCACATAAGCGACTTCCAGATTGACCTGACACTGTTACAGAGGGACTTGAAGCTCAGCGAGAGAAGGTGAGCGCAACAGAGTAATAAGCTCCCTGTAGGGTGCTTAGTATTTCTAGTACTACTGGAAAGCAGGAAGCACCATCAAGGGACCTGGGGACATTTGATACGGGCCAGAGGACAGTTGTCAGCGAATGAGTGATTAAATGGATGCACAACCAAGACATTACCAAGTGCCTTGTCTATTCTACGCACAGTATTAAATCTGTCACGATCTCAGTGATTTTCCTAAAAACCAATGGGAGAAACTTCCGTTCAAAGAAGTCAGTGACGCCCAGCGTCACACGACCAAGAGGGGGGAATAGTTAGGCTTCGAGCCTGAGCCTTCCCATAGCATTCTGTCCCTGGATAACCCAGCAGTCTCTGAATTGCTGTCACTGGGGAGAGGGGGTCTGTATGGTCCTGAGGGGTGGAGCCCAGGGGTGGGAGTTGTAAGAGAACCCAATTTCAGCCTAGCAAAAAGAATGTCCTCAGAGTCGGACTGAAGGGGCTGCCAGGCATGGTGGGGCCACCGTTTGTCAGGGATATCACACTGGGGCTTCTATGACCCCACAGCCTTGCTGAGGAGCAGGGACAGGCTCGGAGGGTCCTGGGAGAGTTGGCAGAGTTGTGGTCTTAGGCCTTTTCCAGCCTTACTAGGAAGGATTCGGACAAAGCAGGCAGAACTTTCCAGGATCCTGAACTGTGGGATATGCTGGCCTTTGGGTGATTTAAGAGCGTCTGGTATCCAAGGCCCCCGATGGTGTTCCAAGAGAGCCAGCGAGAATACCCTTGTCTGGGCTCTTCTAGCAGTCCCTGGAGGGATTATCCTGAGGGCCGTCCACAAAAGGCATTCTAATAGGCATTGAGGTGGAAAATAAAAGAGAAACAAGATGCTCGGAGCCTGTAAAGTTCTAGCAAAATTGTAGCAAGTGCTCAATCCTGGTTATCAGAAGTAAACAAAGTTATTAATTGTGTCTAGATAACCTGGTTTTCCATCACCTATATGGATACTTGCTAATAGCAACACATTAAAATGAAATTGTCTTGGGGCTCCTGGCTGGCTCAGTGGAGTGTGCAGCTCTTGATCTCGGAGTTGTAAGTTTGAGCCCCACATTGGGTGTAGGGGTTACTTAAAAATAAAAATCTTTTACAAATAAATAAGATACATTACGTTACATTACCTTGTCTTTTTGATGGCTCTGGAGCAGATCTTGTCTGCTTCTCTGCTCTGCTCCTGGTGGCCGTTGGGGATTCTGTCTTCACGGGCCGGAGTGTGAATGCTGCTCCCCCTGCCAAGGGCAGACCTGCTGAGGACACTCCCTCCCTTTTGTTCTGTGTGTTTGCTCCTTAGGATGATGGAGATAGCGAGGGCCATGAGGCTGAAGATCTCTAAGAGAAGGGTGTCTCTGGCAGCTGGCGGGGAGGAGGATCACAAACTGGGCACTCTGTCCATCCCGCTGCCTCCAGCCCAGACCTCGGACCGCCAGTCAAAGCGGAGGAGGATCACCTAGAGGGTGCTTTCCAGATGGAGCATTTTGGCCACACGGAGCCACTACTTGTGTTCATTTCTATTTTTATTTTTAAAATGAGAAGGAAAAAGAAGCCTTGCTTTGGCGTGGGTACGAAGCCAGAAGCAGCATCTCAAGTCGTGCTTGTGTTCGGTGGAAACATAAAGTGATCACCATGTTGGACTTCACCTCTCCCCTCTGGTGTCGCTGTGATTATAAATGGCAGGCGGTTCCTGTGGGAGGGTGGGGCCTGGGGAAGTCCGAGCCAACAGATCTCACAGGCTGAACCCTAGGCCAGATCTAATGGATCAGTGTTAATAAAGAGGGCTGTGAAGAGAGCTGTGATGCCTGGTCTGGAAGGGCCACGCAGCCCAGCTGGGCTGGAAGAGGAGGCCTCCGGCTTTCCCAGTAGCTGTGGGTCACCTGTGTCGTGGGGTTGCCGAAGGGGGCCAGTTTAGTTTGAGGCTGCCGGTCAGAGGAAGAGACCGGCAGAGGAGCCGGTCAGAGGAAGAGATTGACAATGCCGGTTACTCTGCCTGGCTCGGGCCCACAGAGGGCAGGGGTCAGCTCTGAAAGCACGTTTTTGAGAGAGATGAATCAAAGTGAAGTACGGAAAACAAATGGTTCTAGACCTCTTTAAAAAGAGGATTTGATGCATGGATAGAATGCTATAAAATTGTGAAAGGGCTGCACAGGTGGGAATCGGGAGATTGCCCCTGGCTCTGCTGAGTTCAAGAACACAAGGCTGGGGGGCACCTGAGTGGCTCAGTCGGCCATCTGACTCTTGATGTGGGCTCAGATCAAGACGGTTTGTGGGATCGAGGCCCGCGATGGTATGGAGCCTGTTTGGGATTCTCTCTGTCGAAGTAAATAAATAAACATTTGAAAAAAGTGCACAGCTGGGGTTGCCAGCCGGGCATCAAGACGCCACGTCTGCCCCAGACTGCTTCTTGGATTGCAGAGGCTGGTGACGACACTGCAATGCTGAGTCCAGCCACCAGTGCTTTCAGTCCCCACGTTTCCACCCTTTTACTTGTCAGCACTAACAACCAAAAGATCAAGAAGCTGGCCTCCATCTTGCTTCCTTTTTCTGTGAGCATTTGACCCTTGAATAATCCAGGGTTAGGGGGCATCAACCCCTCACACAGTCAAAAATCCATGTGTAATTTTTTTTAAGTTTATTTTTGAGAGAGAGCGTGTGCACGAGCAGGAGAGGGGCAGAGAGGGAAGCAGAGAGAGAATTCCAAGCAGGCTCTACACTGTCGACGCAGAGCCCAATGTGGGGCTCAGACCCACAAACTGAGATAATGGCCTGAGCCGAAATCAAGAGGCAGATGCTTAACCAGCTGAACCACCCAAGTGCCTCCCATGTGTAATTTTTGACACCCCCAAAATTTGACTAATGGCCTACTCTTGACTGTAAGCCTTAATGATAAGCAACACGTATTTTGTACATTATTTTGTACAGTATGTATTACATACTGTATTCTTTAAGATAGAGAAAAGAAAATGTTAGGAACACACAGTACTTTATTGGGAAAAAATTTACATGTAAGTGGATCCACAAAGTTCAAATCCATGTTGTTCAAGAGTCGACTGGAATTTCATAGTTTTCTGCCAGATACATGTATTACTGTTACAATCCTTGGGGATAAGTGAGTATTACTTGAGAGAGAAGCTACTGGAGAGCATTGTTTGAGCTTTGGTGCTTTGAAAGCAAGATGGGCACATCGTTTATCTTGCAAATTCCAGACAGGTAGTGTTTTCATAAGAATGGTCTTCACTCCATTTGGATGAGTGTATTTATAGAAGTGAAAACTTTGGGGGAAGGAAATAGATTGATTTTTTTTTTCTTCTTGAACTTTTGAAA